CCCGTTCCAATTTTCCCTCCCCCACCTTCCCCTCCTTTCCCCCCGCCCAAGCTCCCGCTTTGCGCTCCTTTCCTCCCCGCCTGCCATGTGCATAGCCATTATCCCCCTTTCCCCTCCCCGCCGTCCCCCGCCCCCCATGCCACACCCATCCGACATCTGTCGCATCTCAATCTATCCGCGCTGATATCCTCCCCACCGCATTCGACCTTATCCCACCACATTTGGCCTATCTGACTGCATGGGCGCGATGACGCGGCACGGCAGGCGGGCAACATTCTGATCGACGCGGTGGGGAACGTGCGACTGGCGGACTTCGGCGTGTCCGCGTGCATGTTCGACACGGGCGACCGCCTCTTGTCGCGCAAGACCTTCGTCGGCACGCCCTGCTGGTGCGTGCGTGCGCGCCGCTGCTCCGCTCTGCTCTGCTCTGATCCCCGCGCGCCCGCTCCCCGCGCGCCTGCTCCCCACGCGCCCGCTCCCCGCGCGTGCCCCGCCTACCGCGCGCGCGCGCCCCCACGTGCGCGTGCACGTGCTCGCGCGACTGGTGCTGTTCTCGTGCTGGTGCTGTTCTTGTGAGTGCTGCGTACGTTAACTCGCGCTCATGCGCCCTTGCCCCGCCCCTTGAATGCGCCCTCTGTGTTTTCCATGCATGCCCGTGCGCATGGCCTTCCTCTGCCCGTGCCCCATCAGAATCTCCCCCTGTTGCTACCGCCTGCCTCCCGCCTGCCTTCTGCCTGCCTCCCGCTGCCGCCCTCCCCCCGCGCCTGCCGCCTTATTTCCCCCGCCTCCACCTCCGCTCCGCCTCCCCTCCGCCTCTCCTCCGCCTCCCGCGTGCGTGTCCCATGGCAGGATGGCACCCGAGGTGCTGGAGCAGCTGCACGGATACGACTACAAGTACGCGCCCCTGCCGCACGGTCCCCCTCTTGCATTTCGCCTCTTGCCTCTCGCCTCTCGCCTCTCGTCTCGCTTCTCCGCTTTCCACTCTCCCGTTTTCCACTCTTCCACTGCCCGCCCACCTCGCCTTCCTCCTGCCGGCTCCTCCATTTGGTCTAGCTCGTCATTGCCCCCCCCACCCCCTGGGTCCTGCCGTTCGCTACGCCCTTCTGTCGTCCCGTTACCCCCCCACCGTTCTCCCGCTACCTTTTTCGCGCCCCGCCCTCCCCCTCCTCTCTCCCCCCCCCTTCTCCCGTCCCTGAACCCAGCACCTTGAATGCGCTGCGTTGAGTTGCTCTGTCCCTCCCCGTGCTGCTCCGCGCGCTGACACCCCCCTCCTTCCCCGCTCTCCGCTCCGGACCACCCTCCAGTCTCCCCCTCCCCCCTTTCCCCAACCCCTCCTCCCTCCCCCCGCCACCCTTCTCCCCTCTCCCCCCACCCCCAGGGCGGACATATGGTCGCTGGGCATCACGGCTCTGGAGCTAGCGCACGGCCACGCGCCTTTCTCTAAGTACCCGCCCATGAAGGTGCGCACGCCCCTCCCCCTTCCCTTCCCCCTTCCCCTCCCCATTCCCCTCCCCCTTCCCCTCCCCCTTCCCCTCCCCCTCCCCCCCCCCTTCCCTTCCCGTTCCCCTCCCCCTTCCCCTCCCCTCCTCCTTCCCCTTTCCCTTCCCCTCCTGCTTCCCCTTGCCCTCCGCTCCCCCTCCACCTCGTTTTGTCCCGCTCATACACCTGCACGTACCGCCCAATCCCCATTTCCACCGCTTTGACTTGCACCATAACTTCCTTCTCCACCTTCCACTCGCTCCACTCCCCCCTCCAACTCTCCCCCCTTTCCTGCTCCCCCCCTGTCCACGCCCTCCCTCCTGTTCCGTCCTCTCCCTCTTCCCCTCGCGTCCTCCTCACCTTTTAACCCTTTTCTTCCCCACACATCCTCAACTGTGGCGTGTCGTCCGCTCTCCCCACCACCCCACCGCCGTACTCCTCTCGTATGCTGCCCGCAGGTGCTGCTAATGACGCTGCAGGGAGCACCTCCGGGGCTGGACCTTGAGAGGGACCGCCGCTTCTCCAAGGTGCCTGCTCTGCCTGCCTGCCTGCCTGCCTGCCTGCCTGCCTGCCTGCCTGCCTGCCTGCCTGCCTGCCTGCTCTGCCGCACTCCCTCCCTAGTTGTGGCTGCTCCGCCTCTCTGCCTCTTGTTTTCTGGCCTGTGAAAAGTTTTTAATTAGACACATCTTCCCCTTTCCATAACCCTCCTTCTCTTCCCTCTTACCCGCACCCTAATTTCCCGCACCCCTCCTTCCCACACCCCTCCTTCACGCCTCCTCCCCGTACCCTTCTATGCTTCCCCTTCCGCGCGCTGACCCCCCTCTGGCTTTTCTTCTGCCCTCTAGCCCTCCCTCTGCTCATTTGCCACGACCCTCCGTTCTCCATTTATGGTCTTTGCAATGCAACCATCGTTCTCCATTTCATGCGGTGGCGGGTGGGTGCCTGATGCATGGATGGTGGCGGATGCATGGATGGTGCCGGATGCATGGATGGTGTCCAATGCATGGGTTGGGAAATATATGCGTGTTTGCGGTGGGTGCGGCTGGTATGCCTTGTTCTCTCCCTTCTTGTGTGCGCGTGCGCATGTGCCTTCGTGTGTGAGCGGATGTGCATGTGCGGCCATGCGTATGTTATGCATCCATCCATCCATCCATCCATCCATCCATCCATCCATCCATCCATCCATCCATCCATCCATCCATCCATCCATCCATCCATCCATCCATCCATCCATCCATCCATCCATCCATCCATCCATCCATCCATCCATCCATCCATCCATCCATCCATCCATCCATCCATCCATCCATCCATCCATCCATCCATCCATCCATCCATCCATCCATCCATGCATGCGTGCGTGCGTGCGTGCGTGATTCCTCGCAGTCGTTCAGGGAGATCATAGCCATGTGTCTGGTGAAGGAGCCGTCCAAGCGCCCCACAGCAAATCATATCTGAGACGTCTCTAAAGCACCCTTTATTACGTTGCATGCGGCCATCTGTGCGTGCGTGCGTGATTCCTCGCAGTCGTTCAAGGAGATCATAGCCATGTGTCTGGTGAAGGAGCCGTCCAAGCGCCCCACAGCAAATCATATCTGAGACGTCTCTAAAGCACCCTTTATTACGTTGCATGCGGCCATCTGTGCGTGCGTGCGTGATTCCTCGCAGTCGTTCAAGGAGATCATAGCCATGTGTCTGGTGAAGGAGCCGTCCAAGCGCCCCACAGCGGAGAAGCTCATGAAGCACGCCTTCTTCAAGCAGGCGCGCGACGCCGACTACGTTTACCACCACCTGCTGCACGGTCTGCCCACGCTGGGCGAGAGAGTGCAGATGCTCAAGGTGAGTCCAATCTGGGGCGCCTTGAAAGTAGAAGCGACGCCGACTACGTTTACCACCACCTGCTGCACGGCCTGCCCACTCTCGGAGAGCGAGTGCAGATGCTCAAGGTGAGTGCCTTCCCCCCCCCTTTCCCATCCCCCCCCTCTTTCTCAACCCCCCTTTCGCCCCCCCACTCCTCCCCCTTCGCATCCCTCCTCCTTCCTCTCACCATCCCCTCTCCTTACTCACGCCTTCCTCCCGCTGCACCCTCTCCTTCCTCCTCCTCCTCCTCCTCCTCTTCCTCCTCCTCCTCCTCCTCCTCCTCCTCCTCCTCCTCCTCCTCCTCCTCCTCCTCCTCCTCCTCCTCCTCCTCCTCCTCCTCCTCCTCCTCCTCCTCCTCCTCCTCCACTCACGCTCTGATTACCACTTTCCTCCTCGTTCTCTTCTGCTTCGACTGCCCCCTGCCATTCTCACAAGCTCAGCTCACCAGCACATGCTCATGCCCTTAGCCCCCCGTGCCCCCCAACTCCCTGCCGAATGCCCGCACACTTGCCATGCCTTGTGCCCTGTGCCTCGTCGGCCGGCCTGTGCTGTGTGCTGTGTGCTGTGTGCTGTGTGCGTGCGCGTGCACTGCCTGTCCATGCGAGCAGGAGAAGGAGCTGGCGCGCCTGGCAGCCAACAAGGACCCCATGAACGTGCAGGAGGAGCGCTCGCAGGTCACACTCTCACCCTCTCTCTCTCTCTCTCTCTCTCTCTCTCTCTCTCTCTCTCTCTCTCTCTCTCTCTCTCTCTCTCTCTGTCTCTCTCTCTCTCTCTCTCTCTCTCTCTCTCTCTCTCTCTCTCTCTCACTCACTCTCTCTGTCTGTCCCACTCCTACCACTCACTCTGCCCTTGCAACCCTTGAGTGTCTTTCTGCCGAACTTCCCCATTCCAGTCTTACACGCACGCGCCACCCTGTTCAACTTCAGACTCGTCTCCTCGTTTCCTGCTGTAGCTAGTTCCAAATTTTCACTGCAACTTGAGCTCGGAACTCTACTTACCACAGTGAAACCATGGCAGCGATGCCCATGTGCTTGCTCGTAGCACTCACGTGCGCGCCCACGCGTTTCCTCCTCCTCCTCCTCCTCCTCCTCCTCCTCCTCCTCCTCCTCCTCCTCCTCCTCCTCCTCCTCCTCCTCCTCCTCCTCCTCCTCCTCCTCCTCCTCCTCCTCCTCCTCCTCCTCCTCCTCCTCTTCCGCGCCCTTGTCCTCCCGCTCCTGGCTGCCATGCGGGCTGGACTGGACGTGCATGCAGAGTCAATACCGCCTGGGCGTCAGCGGGTGGAGCTTCAATGTGCAACAACTCAAACATGAAGCATCCACGGTCCGTACCCGCACACCCTCTCCTCCCGCTGCGTTTTCCTTCCCCCTCTCCGCCTTGTGTTTTCCCCGCGCTGGCACCAGCTGTATTAGCCTCTTCGCAATCATGCTCGTTAGCAGCCCGTGGTCCTGCTTCAACCCTGAAAGCCCATTCTTTCTCAATGCCCTCGCTCCCTCTTCCTGTGGCCCCTGGGCTGTCTGTCTTGCTCCTTACCACAACTGCCACCTCCCTTGCCATGCCACCACCACCACCACAAGCAATTCCGGGACACCACGGACCCGCCGCCTACGATTCCCGAGGACAAGCCCTTGCCTTTTGAGTCGACTCAGAAGTTAATCCCGTGCTGCTTGTGTTTCCCCTCTCCACCGCCACCACCATCACGATTAGATCTGGGACACGGACCAGCAGCCAGCCGCCTACGATTCCCGAGGACAAGCCCTTGCCTTTTGAGTCGACTCAAAATCCCATGTCCTGTGCTGCCTGTGCTGCCCCCTTGCCACCGCCACCACTGCCAAGCAGATCTGGGACACAGAGGAGCAGCCGCCTACGATTCCCGAGGACGAGCCGCTGCTGCTTCCAGGGGGCTCAAATAACCCGTGTCCTCTGCTGCATGTGCTGTGATGTGCTGTGCTGCCTGTGTTGCCCCTCGATCCCACCACCACGAGCAGATCTGGGACCCGGACGAGCAGCCGCCTACGATTCCCGAGAACGAGCTGCTGCTGCTCCCAGGGGGCTCCGCGCCAAGCTCTGCAGGGCCTTCGTCTCGCAGGGGGAGTGATAACGCGGAGGAGGGCGGGAAGCAGGGAGCAGGGGCGGGAGCAGGGGCAAAGGCACCGCCTCAGGGACAGGCACAGGGACAAGGGCAGGGACAGGGACCGGTGAAGATTCAGGGGCAGGTCCAAGCGCAGAGGGCGGAGTCTGGGCGGGAGAGAAGGGAGCTGGGTGATCAGCAGCAACGGGATGAGGCTCGGCGTGAGGATCGGCATGAGAGCCGTGAGCGGGCGATGTCGCAGCAGCAGGCTGTGCAGCAGCAGCAGCAGCAGCAGCAGCAGCAGCAGCAGCAGCAGCAGCAGCAGCAGAGGCAGGAGATGCAGGAGAAGCAGGAGAAGCAGGAGAAGCAGGAGAAGCAGGAGAAGCAGGAGAAGCAGGAGAAGCAGGAGAGACAGGAGAGGCATGAGAAGATTTTTTCGGACAGTGAGGGAGGGGTGGTGAAGGTTACGGGAAGGGGATCCGAGGAGAAGCAGGCAGGGAGGGTTGGAGAGGGGGATGGCGTGAGGGAGAAGAAGGTGGGGGAGGAGCGAAAGGCGAAGGAGGGAATGGGAATGCCTGATGATGGTAAGCACGAGGAGCATTTACATCAGGAGCGGCAGCAGCACCAGGAGCAGGTGGAGCAAGAGCGTAGACGTGTGAGTGGGGAGAAAGAAGGGGTCGGACAGATGGTGGGGAGTGCTGGGGACGCAGAGGGAAGGCGTGGGAGTGAGGAGGTGGAGGCAGGGAAGCAGAGTCAGGCGGAGAGGGAGAGAGATGATGGAATGGGGGTTGGAACGAGGAGGGATGAGGAGGAGAGGGTTGTTGACACTGGGAAGCAGCAGCAGCAGGAGCAGGAGGTGGGGAGGCGAGAGAGAGCTGATGCATTTGTGGGCTCGGAGGGGAGGGGAAGCAGGGAGGAGTGGAGGTTAGGGGAGGAGCGCGGAGGGAAAGGGCAGGAGCAAGTTGATCGGAGGGAAGGAGCTGTGGCAGGTGCCGACTTTGCTCCCTTAGCTCAACGGGACAGGGTAGTGGAAGAGCGTCAGCTGCACGCTCAGCAGCAGCAGCAGCAGCAGCAGTTGCAGAGGAAGAAGCAGGACCTTGCAATGCTCATGGATCGGGATTCAGACAAGGAAGCAGCAGCTGTGCGGCTGAGGGAAGCGGACGAGGCGGCACACGCACGCGCAACAGCACGAGAGGGCGGGCCTAGAGGGAGTAACGAGGCGGATAGTACCGGGGACGGACGCGAGCGGGAGGGGTCTGATGGTGCAGGGGTGTTGGATCAGCAGTCAGGAGGGACAAGGCAGAGTGTGGGTGCGAGGCAGGAGGGAGGGTTAGGTGGTGTGGGTGCGGGTGAGTTTTACGCAACCCATAGGGATGAGCTGTGGGACTGGCAGCAGCAGCAGCAGCAGTGGGAGTGGCAGCAGCAGGAGTGGCATTGGCAGCAGCAGCAGCAGCGGCAGCGGCAGCAGCAGCTGGCACTCCAGGACCCAGCAGCAACGGCAGCGGTCATTGCAGCAGCAGCAGCCGCAGCAGCAGCAGGGGGAGGGCCTAGGGCCGGCGTGGGAGGAACAAGCACGTGGTGGGAGGGGGAGGTTCCGCCGGCACATGCAGGATCGAGCTGGTTGGCTTGGCAGGCTATGCAGGCAGGGCAGCATATGGAAGGGGTGCCGGCGTCAGTGTCCGCTGCGCGGGTGGAGGGAGCAGAAGCAGCGCTGATAGAGCAATGGAGGCACGCTCAGGCTGTGGCTATAGCAGCTGCTGCTGCATCGGACGGGCATGGGGGAATCCTTCCCCCGCGCACGTCCCCTACTGCTACTGCTGCTGCCGGTACTGCCGGTACTGCCGCAGCTGCTGGTGCTGCTGCTGCTCCTGCTTCTGCTGCTGCTCCTGCTGGTGCCACCGCTGTGGCTGCTGCTGCTGCTGCTGCTGCGACAGGGGCATTGGTTTCTGCTGCCCCTGGTGCCGCAGCGCCTGCTGTGTCTGCTGAGGCTGGGTCTGGTACACAAGATGGCGGAACAGAGCTTGAGGTGAGTCTCTTGTGTTACTCGTTCGCGCTCCTGCTACCACTTTGGTTCCGTTCCTATGCTCTCTCGTTTTGGATGGTCGGTGTGCATAACAAAACGGCTTACTCATGGTCACTCTTTTTCCCGCTCCCGCTCTTTGGTTCGAATCCCTGTGCCATGGTCTCTACCAGCCGTCACTCTCGAGTGAGCAACCGCCATCGCTGAACGACACATCACGCCTGGACTACCATCCGGGCAGGCAAGTCTAGTCAAGTCCAGCCTCGCACGCCCACATGCCCACGTGCCCAGCAGCACACACGCTCACTCTCTCTCGTTGTCAGTTGTGCCCTTTCTCACCGTGCTTATTTTTGAGTCGACTCAAAAATAGCAGCACACACGCTCACTCTCTCTCGTTGTCAGTTGTGCCCTTTCTCACCCTGTTTCAGAGGCTCTTCACCTTTCTTACCGTATGACTCCTGAGTTAGAGAAAAAAAAACAGCGCACGTTCTTCTAGCGTGGCTCTCTTTTCCTGACTGGTCGTTGCACACACTGAAAACGCGAATGCAGCCTTTCCCCGCTCCCGTTCCCCCCTCTCCTCATCCCTTCGCCCTACTTCTTCCCCCTCTCCCTTTTTTCTCCCCCTTCCGCCCCTCTTCCCCCCCCTCCATCCCCATCCTCCTCCGTGCCAGGTGGAATTGCGTCCATGCCTCTGAACCGGTTCATAGAGCCATGATGGATCCCACCACGTCGCTGCTAACACCAACGTCCCCTCACGCCCCCTCCCCGCCCCCTTCCTTCCTACCCCACTTCCTTTCCGTTGCCCCGCCAGGTGGAATGCGTCCATGCCGCTGAACCGGTTCGGAGAGCCCATGATGGATCCCACCACGTCGCTGCTGCTCGCCTCCTCCCTGCACCCCCACGCCTCGCACGGCGCACGCTCCGCACTCCTGCACTCCCTGCACTCGCTGCCGCTCCCAGGTATGCATGTGTGACCTGCACTACTGGGGTGTATGCTGGGATATGTGCTTGGGAGTGTGCTGGGATGCGATCCGTGCTGGTTTGCTTGCATGTTGGGGCGTGGATGGGACGACTTTTGAGGCGCCTCAAAATCCGTGCTAGTTTGTGTGCTGGGGCGACGTGTAAAGAGGTGATTTTTGAGACGTCTTATAAATGGCCTCTTTACACGTGCTGGGATCCGTGCTGGGGTGCGTGCTTGGGAGTGTGCTGGGATCCGTGCTGGTTTGCGTGCTAGGGCGTGGATGGGGGTGCGTGTTAAGCTGCTTGCCTTTCCTGCCTCCAGGTCTCCTCTCCCGTTTCCCTCTTCCCTTCCCCACCTCCCTCTCACCCTCCGCACCACGGTGCGAGCGGACAAGGCAGGCCCGAGGCACTCTCTGGACGATGAGATGAGGGGCCGCAGGGCCACATGGAGAATATTAAGATTTCCTCCCTTCCCCTCCTTCCCCTCCCTCCTCCCTTCCCTGCCGTGCCATTGTGAGCACAGACAAGGCAGGCCCGAGGCACTCTCTGGAGGACGCGGGGTCGCAGGGCCAAATGGACCCGCGGTACTCCAGCTCCTCCTACGACCTCGAATCCACCGAGGTGAGTCTTGAGTCGCCCCCTTGGTTCGATATCTTGCCACATGCCACATGGACTCGTGGTACTCCAGCTCCTCCTATGACTTCGAATCCACTGAGGTGCGTTGCTTCCCCCCTCTCCCCGCTCCGTTCCTCCAATTCCCCAAACGCCCCCCCTCCTCCCCCCCCTACCCTACCCCCACCCCCCCACACAACCCTCCCTTCACCCTTGCATTGTGGGCGTTTTGTTTATCCCCGTCTTCGTTCTCTTTAATCCCGACCCTTTTCCCGTGAATTAATCTTATTTCTGTAACCCCGCTGTGCTCCTCTTTCAGCTGTGACTCAACTCAAGAATCCCTCAACGCACCTGCATTCCCCTCCCCTCTTCTGGGGATCCTTTCGTCCTCCCGCTCTTGAGTCGACTCAAAAGTCACCTCCTCCCGCTCTTGAGTCGACTCAAAAGTCACCTCCTCCCGCTCTTGAGTCGACTCAAAAGTCACCTCCTCCCGCTCTTGAGTCGACTCAAAAGTCACCTCCTCCCGCTCTTGAGTCGACTCAAAAGTCACCTCCTCCCGCTCTTGAGTCGACTCAAAAGTCACCTCCTCCCGCTCTTGAGTCGACTCAAAAGTCACCTCCTCCCGCTCTTGAGTCGACTCAAAAGTCACCTCCTCCCGCTCTTGAGTCGACTCAAAAGTCACCTCCTCCCGCTCTTGAGTCGACTCAAAAGTCACCTCCTCCCGCTCTTGAGTCGACTCAAAAGTCACCTCCTCCCGCTCTTGAGTCGACTCAAAAGTCACCTCCTCCTCCCCTCTCTTGGGGATCCTTACGTCCTCCAGCTCGCGCTCAGTCCATGCAGGGCGGGTCGCTGTCGCTGCCCCCCACGCCCCTGGCGATGCATGACGTGCATCATGTGGCAGTGGAGACGAGTTTTGAGACGTCTCAGAACTTTTCCTCTCTCGCCCTCTCCCTCCTCACTCCCTACAGGGCGGGTCGCTGCCCCCCACGCCCCTGGCAGTGCATGACGTGCGTCACGTGGTGGTGGAAACACCTTTTGCAGGCATCATGCTGCACCTCGGTTCGCTGCTGCGCCAGGCCACCGAGCAACAGGTGTGCCCTCGTGAACGCTGCCGCTGCTGCTGCTGCTGCTGCTGCTGCTGGTTGTGCTCCTTCTCTTGGTGCTGCTGCCTGCATGTGGTTACAAAGGCAATTTTTCCGCTTCAAACTGCTTCAAACAGACCACCAGTTTCCATGCACGCCACTTCCCCCTCTGCTCACTCTTCCCCCTTACCCACGCCCCTCCCTCCTGTATTCCCATTTCAGGAGGTGATCTACAGCCTGCTTCACTTCCTCTCCCCTGGCTATGGCGATACAGGTATGCATGCATGCATTTGTGCATTGAATTACGTCTTTTACACAGAAAGTCAGTTAAGCAGCAGCAGACTCTGTTGCATAAGAGTCAGAGGCACTGAAGAGATCTTATCATGTCTCCTTGCTTCCCCTCCTCCTCCACCTGCCCCCTCTCACCCCATCCCAACCCCTCCCACAGGTGTCGTAGATGCATGCACCAGAGTCCGTCCGTGCCTGAGATATCAGAAACTGCCGCTGCAGCGCTTTCAAACCTCTCAATAGTCGCCTTCTCGCCCTCCCACCCGCCTCCCACCCCCTCCCACCCCCCTCCCACCCCCCTCCCACCCCCCTCCCACAGGTGTCATTGCACCTGAATCCGTGCCTGAGATATCAGAACCCTCTGCAGCAGAGCGATCTTTGAGACGTCTCACAAGTCGGCTTCTCGCCCTCCCACCCCCCTCCCACAGGTGTCATTGCACCTGAATCCGTTCCCGAGATATCAGAATCCTCTTCAGCGGCTGAGGCTGCCACTGGGACAAGCGAGGGGGAGGGCGGAGGAAGAGGGGAGGAGCAGCAGGGGGCGGATGCAGCAGGGGAGGGTGGCGGCGGCGGTGGTGGTGGTGGTGAGGGGAGCAAGGAGCGGTCCGTACGCTTTCAGGATAGCAACGCTGCTGCTGGCAATGCGAGTGCTGCTGCTAATGCTGGTGCCAGTGCTGCCAATGCTGGTGCCAGTGCTGCCAATGCTGCCAGTGCTGCGAATGCTGCTGCTAATGCTGCTCACACTGCAAACGGGGCTGCAGATAACACGTCTGCTGCTGGTGCTACTCTTGCTGATACCGCTGCTCCCGGCGCCACTGTGGGGGGGTCTGGGGGAAAAGGAGAGAGCAGGGAGGGGGAAGGGCAGAGGTATGGTTCTGGCGATGGCACTGCAGCTGGGGGGAGTGATACAGGCAAGGGAGGGCGAGGCGAAGGCGAAAGGAGAGAATCAGGTTCAAGTGAGGAGGGCGTGGGGGTGGCTGATGCAGCAGCGAGAGTCGGAGGAGAGAGAAAAGGGGAAAGTGGAAAGCGGGTGGATGGGCGGGTGGTTGATAGGGGTGAGGAGAAGGGGGAGGAGGGGAGCGAGAGGGGAATGGAAGAGGAGGGTGAGGGCAAAGCGGCGGATGGGGAGGGGGAGAATGAAGGGGAGGATGGGAGATTCGTAGCTGCTGCGTCGTCCAGGGATAGCCTCGGCTCGTATGACGACTCTATTGTAAGTTCACTATTTTATTAGGCGCTTTATATGACGACTCATATGGCGCTTTATATGGCGCTTTAGTCCAGGGATAGCAGGGATAGCCTCTCCTCATCGCCTCATATGACGACTCTATTGTACGTTCAAGCCCACCTCACTGCTCCCTACCACCTCACACCCCGCCCCGCCTCGTATGACGACTCTATTGTACGTTGACACTCATTGAGGCACTTGAGGTGACTTTTGAGTCGACTCAAAAGTCACCTCCTCACACCCCGCCCCGCCTCGTATGACGACCCTATTGCACGTTGACACTCATTGAGGCACTTGAAAATATACAGGGATAGCCTCGCTTCGTATGACGACCTCCATTGTACGTTTTACCCTACCTCACTGCTCCCCACCACCCTATCACCCCACACCCCACCTTGCCGCTACCCACTCCTCGCCACCCCTCTCCCCACTTCCCACCATCCACTCGCCGCTTGGCCACGTTCCCTTGCCACACGCTTGTCAGTGTCCTGCTTCTTACCCATTTTCCTGCAAATGCAATCTATATGCTGCTGACCACTTGTGGCAAAGCGTTTCATAGCATTATGTTGCATATGCAGCTGATTAAAAAATGGGGTGGGGTGGTGTTGACAAGTGGGTGGTGACATGCAGCTGACTTTTGAGTCGACTCAAAAGTCAAACGGGTGGTGTTGACAAGTGGGTGGTGACTTGCAGTTTTCAAGCTGCTCTGTATCCCTCTGTTAAGTCTGCTACGGATGCTTCTCCTTTTGGGCGCATGCCACGCCATGCCATGCCATTGCCCATGTGTGCTGCGAGCAGGTGGAGGTGGCAGCGGACAGGGAGAAGGACGTGAGCCAGCAGGTGGTGGAGCACCTGAAACGTCTCACAAGTCGTCTGCGGTTGCTTCTTTTGTGCTGCCCACGCCAATCCTGTGTTTGTGCGAGCAGGTGGAGGTGGCAGCGGACAGGGAGAAGGACCTGAGCCAGCAGGTGGGGGAGCTGGACTCGCGGATCGTCTTCCTGCAGAACGAACTCGCTGCTCTTAGGAATCAGAATGCCCAGGTACGCACTGCATGTTCTGAGGTGCCTCAAAACAAGACCTTCAGGAACCCGAATGCCCAGGTTAGCACTGCACGGCTGTGAATCATGGATTAGATGAGTGAAGCCTGTAAGGCTGTCGCACCCAACACAGGTGAAGCCGCGCTGTTGTTTCTTGTGCACACTCACACACACTCACACACACTCACACGCACTCACACACGAAGTCAAGCACGCAGCTCCGCGCACGCCCATTTCCACACGCAACCACTCTCCTTTCCTTGCTGCGTGTTTGCCCTTGTTCCCTCTTCCTCGTTCCTCTGTTTGGTGGGCACCAGCTGGAGCGGCAGCTGAATGCGTTTTACAACGAGGAGGAGGCCGACGAGGGCGACAACATGAGTGACGACGACAACTCGCGCAATGGAGACGACGACGATGACGACGACGACTCGCACATGGATGCCTGATTCGCTTCGCACAGGCGAGCAGGTGATTCCAGGCTCTGTGATGCATGCCGCTGCTGCTGTTGCTCTTGCTGCTATTGCTGCTGTTACATCTATGAGGCTCGGTTCATTGCTAATGCACATACGATATTTGTTCAAGTGCTTGTGTTGGGTGTTCATCACCATCTGATCTCCTTTTACCTTGCTATGTACAGGGACTCATGTCACTGCTGCCGCTGCTGTTGCTGCTGCTGCTGCTGCCGCCGCCACTGTTGCTGCCGCTGTGCTGTCTCTCGCTCCCATCTCAACATCGGTCCCTCCTCCTTTTCTCGCCTCCGCTTTCCATTTCCAACCCCCGTGGGCTTGCTGGCTTTGCCATGTAGTGGCAATGCCGAGCCTTCCCGTGACCAACCCCACCACTCGGTGTGTCAGCGATAAGTTCGGATTTTAAGCAGAATGGTTAGCCTGGTGGGCGTCACACGTTGAACCAGCTGGAAATGGAGGCTAGGTTTGGTTTGCAAGGGCACTAGGACTTTAGGGCGGGCAGGGAATGACGAGGTTACTGGGCTTGATCTGACCCAGTGGAAGGCGAGGGGTGGGGTTGGTACATTGCAAGGCAAGTGATCTGTTGGGGTTGGTATTGGTATGTGCCAACTGACACTCAGGATGGTGTTGTGCTGGTGGTGGTGGCGACAAGTGAAGAGAAGAGAAGAGAAGAGAAGAGGGGCATGGAAGGGTAGCAGCAATGCCTAGGCTAGGAGGCATTGCTCGGCGGGAGCTTCAGGAATGGTGATCACCTATGTCAAGATTCCGCATAAATTGCGTCAACCCTGACATGGGTCATGGTTCATGGGTCATGGGCCATGGGTTATGGGCCATGGGTCAGGGGGCATAGGTCTTGTATCATGTGCCATGGTTCATGGGATATGGGTCCCGATTCATGAGGCTCCTGTCCGTGTCGTTGTCTGCAGCTCTGTCCCGTTTCAGGTTCTTCTCTTGCTCTCCAGAGCAGGTGAAGAGATGGCAGGGTGTGGTTGTTGGGACTGGTCATGTGCTCGCTGTGCTGCATCTGCAGCATATCATGCAATGCCATGCCATGTCAAGGGTTCTTCGAAGGGTCCGTACGAGTACTGGCGGTACTGATACTGGCACTGCTCTTCACGCTGGTATGAGACGTGCAATGTTGGTGACTATCGCGTTTCATTGCATGGGCCAGATTGCGGAATCGGTAGATAGTGCATTGAGTTGCTGCTGCTGCAATGCGGCAGTTGCATTACGCGACCAGATCTACGGTAGAATTTTAGGATACCAAAGTGATTTTAGGATCTAATGGTACATTGTCTAGGCACATGTGTGTTTACGGAATAGAAATCGTTTTTCTATATGGAAAGAAAGGCATTTTGCATATCTCCCGTGCTAAACACTGTACACATGAAATCTGTGTAAAACAGACACCTGCAAATGCTTCTCAAATCTTACTGCAGCAGGCACACTAGTTCTTGTTCTTGGACGCATCTCCTATGATAAGCCCCCCAACCTGGATGTTGGGGTAGCAAGCAAGCAGCACAGGATGGGAGAAAGCCGGCCAAGAGTTGCAAAACAGAGAAGCAATAAGCTGATGGGCAAGGGAACGGCAGAGACCACGGCAGAGACCACGGCAGAGACCACGGCAGAGACCACGGTAGATATCGCACGCAGTGATCAAATGGGACAGGCTGGGTACGTGCACTGCTCTTCTTGGCACGTGTCATAGGCTCTTGGCTTGGCGCTACCTTCTCAGCTAAGTCGCCCTCACCTGAGGGTCGGCTCTTGGCGCTACCTTCTCCGCGTATCTCTCTGCCTCCCCACTCTCCCTCCATCTCCTCATCGCCTCCTGCTCGCCAACACACATGCCATCTCGCCACCATGCCAATAATACCATGCCATGCCATCACCATGCCACCATGCCATGCCATCACCACCATGCCACCATGCCATGCCATCACCATGCCAATGATTACATACCATGCCATCACCACCATGCCATGCGATGCAGCACATTTGGTTGGGAAAACAAGACACGCCAACTGAAAGTGGGTGGAAGAAAGCACTCAAATCAACCCACTCCCCAAGCCACTAACGTTCCTTGTCCCTGGCATGTCAACCTCACAGCCGTATCATCCCCCAAATGCATCTTTCAAGGCTATTCTCCCCGAATATCCATCTCGCCACCACCCTCCGGACCAATAAAATCCCCATCCACGTCACATCAAGCTTCCCGCACCCGCTTGCCTTCCCTCCGCCTCCTCTCCTCTCCCTCCTCACCTCTCGCTCTCGTTGCTTCTCCCACTCCGGGCGCACCCACAGAAAGACTTTTGAGTCGACTGAAAAGTCACCATCCGCATCCTCTCCCCTCCCCTCCTCACCTCTCGCTCTCGTTGCTTCTCCCACTCCGGGCGCACCCACAGAAAGTACGCCGCCGTTCCCGCCACTAGCCATGCCGCGGCATTCTGCCGCCCGCGCACACCGCCCAGAGTGTTCCGCAAAACCTCCGCCGCGCGACCGCTCACGGTTCCGCGGGCCATCGGGGACGACGGACGCAAGGGGGATTACTGGGGAAGATGCGGAAAAAACGGCGGAAGAGTGACGAGATTGGCGGGAGAAGCACGCCACGCGGGGTGTGCCGCACCAGAGACGACGGAACCCAGGGACACGGGTTGACAAGTAGCAGGGAGGGCGAGGAGTGCGACTCAAAGGGGGAAGGGGAGGCTAGCGCATTGACGTGACTTGGGGAATTTGCCAGCTGGTTGTGTGGGGTGGCGTGGTATCTTCGTTATGTGACCTGCTTGGTTTGAAGCGTGGTACTAGAACTTGGTGCTTGTAGGCAGTAGTGTGAAGCAATTACTGTAACATGATTCATGGTTCTCGTAAGGACTACCCTATGAACCTCAATAGATTGATTTGAAGTGAGGTGAGGATGGAAATTTCTCACCTCACTGTTAATCACCAGTTAACCACTCTCGAGCTGTTGACAACCAATCCCTGTCCATCCCCCCATATTGTTAGTGCTTGAACAAGTAGAACTGGAAAACCAGGTCCTACAAAGCTGGGAAAATCAGGTCCTGCATCTACAGATGCATGAAGCAAGTCATGGGCTGGAGAAAAGCTAGTGGGTTATGATGAAAGTACCGGTAATGTGTTGGGGTGGGCAGATACCGTCATCACCCGGATATAAGACAGTGTTGAATAGTAGACAGGGGTTGTCTATTATACGGGTGTCTCTTATAAACAGGCTAACCTTTTTATACGACACCTATTTGTGTGTACGAGATAAGACATATGTGTCTTATAATAGAAATTGCAATGTATTATAGTGAAAAATGAAATACCGCGTACATTTTTACCCTTGCGACACGCGAATTCTGCCACGTGCTGACTCATGAACTACCAATTTTGCCTCTGCAAGTATTCGGGATGACGTGGCGTCCCGAACAATGGTTGCCGAAGTGGCACCTTCGCAATATCCACACTCTTAATGAGAAACTCTTTTGAAGATGCGTGAAAGTATTTCTAAGTAGTTTAAAAATGTTTCCATTTATAAGACCTATAAGACACCCAAAACCTCCCCAAATACAAGATAACCCAAGCATTTTTTTTAGTGTATGAGATAAGACATATATGTCTTATATCCGGGCGACGACGGTAGGCTATACTGTAGGGTACCCTGTAGGGGACCGGTACTTCCAACCAAGCTCTCGCTGTACGTGGTGGTGGTGGCATGTCTCTCCTACCGAATTTGCGATTGATGTCGTTACAGGAACAGCATTGTGCTTAAAGCCCGCATGCAAAATAGTGACCCCCCCCTTCTAGTTGGGGCCACTTGAATTTCAGGGACAGCTGTGTGTTGCAAAAAAAAACAATATGTGAGCTCCCGAGCGAGTAAAACTCTCCAGGAGGGTGCTAGAATTTTTGTACAGCAAATCACGAAGGTGTACACCCAGTCCAGCGACCCTCACAACGTCGCTCAGTATCGCCAAGCAACCCAAGGCACGATTTGGATCAGTGAGGGGCAATTTGTGTAACAAGCACCTCAAAACCAGTTCCTGCGTAGAACATCGCTGTCACGCAACACGCCCTCAGCTCAAGTACAAGCTGAGGAACCAATTACTACTCATCTCGACAGCCCAATTGGCCATGCCGCATCTAGTCGCGACCTAACCGTTCGCATACTATTCGACGTACGCCACTTGCGGCTGTGTAGAAAACGATGGCGCGGCCGTGAGGTAAACTTTTAGCGCGCCTCACTCGGGCAATCTGCCATCCACACTCGACCAATCCGCCTAGGGTTTCAAGAAGGCATTTCGCCCGGCTGAACTCGGCCTTACTAGATATCGCCGCCCCTGTCGACCTTCCAGCAGGGGGCCTGCGCACGACTGACTAGTTTCATCGCCAGCGCTCGACATCACAACGCTTTTCCCGCACCAACCAGGCAAGACATCCACATTCGCCCCACTAGCTAGCACTCAATCACGTCTTAGATACCCGTTATAACCGCACGATGGTGCCGCCTGTTCCCCATTTCGCAAAGTCCATGTTGCAACCTCACCATCACGCACATCCCCATCATGCCTACCCCTTCGCACCATGACCAACTTCCCGCCGTGCCTCACCTTGCTTCCGCGGGTGCCCACGCTGCTTCCCCCGGCTCATCACCTCGCTTCCCCCCGTTCCCGACCTTCTTTCCCCCTGGTCCGCACCTTCCTTCCCCCCATTCTCCACCTTCCTTCGCCCCATTCCCCACCTCGCTTCCCCCCATTCCCCACCTCGCTTCCCCCCATTCCCGACCTTGTTTCCCCCTGGTCCGCACCATCCTCCCCCCTGTTCCCCACCTTCCTTCCCCCCATTCCTCACCATCCTTCCCCCTCTTCCCCACCATCCTTCCCCCACTTCCCCACCTTCCTTCCCGCCATTCCTCACCTTCCTTCCCCCCGTTCCCAACCTGGATTCCCCCCATTCTCCACCTTCCTTCCCCCCATTCCCCACCTCGCTTCCCCCCATTCCCCACCTCGCTTCCCCCCATTCCCCACCTTGTTTCCCCCTGGTCCGCACCATCCTCCTCCCACCATCCTCCCCCCATTCCCGACCTTCCTTCGCCCCATTCCCCACCTCGCTTCCCCCCATTCCCCACCTCGCTTCCCCCCATTCCCCACCTTGTTTCCCCCTGGTATGGAAGATCCGCCCCCCTGTTCCCCATCTTGCTCCCCCCCATTCCTCACCTTCCTTCCCCCCTGTTCCCCACCTTCCTTCCCCCCATTCCTCACCATCCTTCCCCCTCTTCCCCACCTCGCTTCCCCCCATTCCCCACCTCGCTTCCCCCCATTCCCCACCTTGCTTCCCCCTGGTCCGCACCATCCTCCCCCCTGTTCCCCACCTTCCGAACCCCCACTCCTCACCTTCCTTCCCCCCGTTCCCAACCTGCATTTCCCCCATTCTCCGCCTTCCTTCCCCCCATTCCCCACCTCGCTTCCCCCCATTCACCACCTTGTTTCCCCCTGTTCCGCAACATCCTCCCCCCTGTTCCCCACCATCATCTCGCCTCTTTACCACCATCCTTCTCTCTCTTCCCCAGCTTCCTTCCCCCCATTCCTCACCTTCCTCCCTCCGCCAGGCATGGCCCGACGTGTGCGCAGGCGCACAGGACAACCACCCGAAGTACATCACCCGGAGTGGTGTTGGACGTTGCATGCATTTGAGAAAAAGTATCCAAAGCAAGCTACGGTCCTTGAGCAATGGGGTGCAGAGTGGCTTGGATTGAGGTCCGAGAGTGAGTTGCAACCTTGGAAGGGAAGTGGCAAAGCAGACTTCGAATTGTGGCAGTGAACCTGGAAGCTGCGGCTATCCTGCCGTCCTCTATAGGTTGTTGGTGGTGGCAGTGTACCCGCCAAGCAGCGTCTCCCCCAGGTAGCTCTGCTTGTGCCCAGCGACAGGCTAGCTTGGGGCGACCCACGTTGCTCAATACGTGCTGGGAACGGGGGAAAGGGGAGACAGAGGCAAGGAGGGACCATTTGGGAGGGAGGTTGAGGGCGGGGGTTAGAAGGGGTAGGCAGGGAGTGGGTTCTTGTAAAGGCCGGGCTATCCCCTTCCCAACGACCCCTCTCCACCCCCATTCCTCAGCAGCGTGGCCCCCATGTAGCTATGCCTGTTGCCAAGGGACTGCAATGGTGTGTGCCTTGTTGTTTCAAGGCTGCACGTGCTGGGGTTGACGGAGAAAGGCGATAGAGGTAGTGTGTATTTCCCATTCTCAGAAACACCCATTCGAGCTTAGAAAAAAAGAAAGAGGAAAGTCATAACTTGAAAGGAGGTAGAATGCGAGGCAGGGTTGGAGGAAGAGTTAGCGTTGGACAGCCATAGCAGGGGTTCGTTTAGCATGATTCTGGCCTGCCAGGAAAGCACGATGCGTAGTAAGGTGAGGGTTCGGAAAGTCCCTTACCTGCCAGGATCATAGGCAAGCATGCTAGCCAGTAACCCACACCATATAGCTCACCTGGCAGCAACGGTGCTGCAGGAAGGTGAGATGCGCCTCACCCCTTACCATTCCGCAAAAGGCTCACGCATCCACATTCCGCTCTCACAAGAAACCCTACCTGGTGGCAACTCTAGCCTACCTGGCTGAAACAGTGATGTTGTAAGGCGAGAGGTTGGTGAACCCTGGTGATAGAGCTTGGGGCTTGGGGGTAGAGCACTTTGTCGCCCACCTCCACCGCCACGAACACCACTGCCTGCTTGGTGGGCAACGAGGGGAAGGAAGAGCAGGGCAGGATCGCAGTTAGGCTTGTGAGAGTGCGATAGATATTGGGCCAACCCCGAGTGGTGGCAAGCTTTCTCCCGTCACAGATGCCACAAACAACCCTGCCTGCACAACTGGCAGGATGGTGAGGGATGGATGAAAGAGGGCCAGTTGTGATTAGACCAGAAGCTGTTTCTTGGCCACGGTCAGCCAGCTGATGCGCACAACCATGGGGGCCCGATGCATGGAGGCCTGCTGTCGATGGCCCTGATCTTGCAGCCAGCGGCCCGCTGCCACCTCTGCATGTCCAGGTTTTGGGGACGATGGATGGGGGAAGGGGAGGGGAGGGGAGGGGAGGGAGGGGCAGTGGTGTGGAGGGCAGGCCTGCACAACGTTAGACCTATAATGGCTGTGGATAAGAGCTTGATTGTTCACGGAATATGATTGTGCTCCACCATGTTGCAAAGATTAGCTTTTGAAACAACGGGCATGGAGCGACAGTACTCTATTCTAGGTAGATGGCACAATGTGTGTGCTGTGATGGGACCTGCTCATGCCACTGGCTTGTTTCGCAACCCGTTCAGAACGCGACGGGCTGCTGATCGCGAGCACAGCAGCCCGTCAGAACGCGCGGGGCTGCTGATCGCGAGCACAGCAGCCCGTCAGAACGCGCGGGGCTGCTGATCGCGAGCACAGCAGCCCGTCAGAACGCGCGGGGCTGCTGATCGCGAGCACAGCAGCCCGTCAGAACGCGCGGGGCTGCTGATCGCGAGCACAGCAGCCCGTCAGAACGCGCGGGGCTGCTGATCGCGAGCACAGCAGCCCGTCAGAACGCGCGGGGCTGCTGATCGCGAGCACAGCAGCCTCATAGTGCATGCGGTCAATGTCGCACCTTGATGTAGCCTCTAGTAGCGTTTCACTAGTGCAAGACGGCCGCCACCACGCCCCCCCTTCATTCGGAATACAGCCCTTTCGTCGCGTAGCCTAGAGCGGGCGGTCAACCTGGCTCTGGCAGTAATAACACAGGAGGAACTGAGCAATGCGTTGTAATGGCATAGGTAGTCCACTGGTGGCACTCTCAGCATCCGTGACGAGATTGTCCGTCGAGCTCTAATTGACTTCCCAGAATGTCCGTCGTACGTGCTCATTGATTCCAAGACCGCGTCGCGTGTGTTCTGGTGCACACGTAGCTGCGCGCTTAGATTTCTCTCCATTTGAGACACCGTCAGTCACGCCACTCATGTGCATTATGCACCCCTGGTCCAATTTGAAATTCTAGTTGGACCCAACTAGAATGGTCGTGGGCACGACCCTGTCACCAGTGGGTTGTTTCGTGAGGTTGAACTCCCCTCATCCAATGGAAGTTTGTTTCTCGTGTCTTGAACTCTGCTTTGATGAGCTAGGTGGGCTGGTTTGTTTGTCGCACGGTGGTCAAATCTGTCGTGCAAGTGAGACGCGGGAACCATATCTATTTACTCTCGACCAATCTGGGTCCGTGGTTTGGGCTTTTGATATCGTCAACCTATCACACTCCGAAACTAGTGGTTACCACTGTTTTTCAGTCCCGATCCCGAACTGTAGCAAGCTGTTTTTCCATTGGTAAAAATTCTCAACAACACACTAGCATATCCTGGGCCATTTCAAGCTGGGTTGGGGGTCACTATTTTGCATGCAGGCTTTAAGGGTGATTGATTGTCTTACCGGTATTTGGGCACTCCAGACCAGTCCTGTCCTGTACTGCAGTCCCTGTGTAAAGTGTAAACACCCTCAAGCTTCCTTGTCAGCCCCTGCCATACCATACCTGATTGTGTGTGTGGGGTTTGCCTGTATCCTGTCCTGTTCGTGGTGGCCTCTTCAGTATGCACAATCCACATGCACTTTGAGTGTGCGCAGCACTGTCACCTGTTCTGTTCCCCATCGGGGCCCTGTGCCTCTCACATCATGTCAGCCCCACCTTGCTCTCTCTCAACAAGAGGGCTTGGCCGATAGCAGTGAAGTCCTCCCTGTGCCACAGCACAGCATCGTGCAGCACAAGTCATCATGGCACAGCACAGCACCTGCAGGAAGACACTCCGTCCTGCATGGGAGCTTGTGCCCTTGCATCCTCCAGGCTGCCCACCCCGACCACCTATTCTACAACATGCAGGCCCATCCCACCACAGCACAGCACATTATAGCACAGCTAAGCAAAGCATAGCTATGCATGGCACAGCTAAGACAGCAGCAGCCAGAGGGCCATGGTGAGCTCGCCAATGCTGTGCCAGAAAGTCTCTGATGATGCTGCCTTGGTCTTGAAGGAATGAACACGCTTGGTCCACCTCACACGTCCTCGTCCCTGCCCCACACAACGTGGACAGGACAGCAATGAGCTGTCCCCACATGCCGCCCTCCCCGCCCTGCACTGCACATCCACATCAATGCCGATGAGAAGCACAGAGAGAAGCCAGCAGGAAGCGAGAGACATTACATGGGCACGGCTAGCAGACACAGCTTGGCAGGGTCTCCCATCACATCTACCATGGAGATTACACAGCGCAGCTGCTGCCGCCACTGCTTCCCCCACAGTTCGTGCGAGAGACACGGAGAGAGGAATGTGACATGGAGAGGGGAGGTAGGCAAAGGCAGCATAATAATAGGGCACAGAAAGACAGAGGAACGAGCTTACTAGGCCAAGGGTGAAGGGCGGCGGGTAAGACTTGGGAACCTGGACAAGAACAAACAGCCCACACATAGAGGGGATTTAGAAGCAACAGGGTAAGCTGTACTCACTTATTGCATTGCTGCTGCAGCATCCGCTGACTCTGCCACCAACGCCACGGCTGCTGCCTATGCTGCTGGATTTGTAGGAATGTGCTTCCATTCACTGCTGCTCACTCTTCCACTGCTGCTGCTGCCACTCCAACTGCCCACGGTGCCAGCTCCAGATTAAAGGTGGCCACGGTGCTGCTCTTTGCTCTTTGCGCCATGGAAGAGAGGAGAACGGAGATGAGGAGAGCGCAGGAGACGAGGGGTTTGAGAGCTGAGCAAGATTGGGCTGAGCAGATTAACCCATCTGGGAACACAGCAGCAAAGACACATGCTCACCGTGGAAAGTTGGTATACAAGACAGAACGGCACAACAGGGGAACAGTATTCCATTCGATCTGATCCACTCACAGTTCCTTGTGTGTAGCCATGACATGATCCGGCTGTGGTGCAGTGCAGCCACTGGGGATTCCTGAGTTGCTGCAGCCACTGCTCCCTTGAGTGCTGGACGGGAGGAGGGATGGCAAGGGCGTTTTTGAGAATAAAAAGAAACAGATGGCAAGGACGAGGAAGAAAGGCATGAGCAAAGAGAGGAGAAGCAAGTGTGTGAGAGGCTGAGGAGTCAATCAAGGTCAAGAGAGAAACGAGATGGGTAAGAGATGGGAGCCTAACAGGACCGCAAGTGATATTTTACAACCAGAAGCACATTAACCTACTCCTCCATTGCTGCTGGAGTCACCACACCACTGCTGCTGCTGCCTGCCACCGCTGCTGCTGCACTTGCTGTTGGTGCACGACTGGAGGTGCTGCCCTTCGGGTGATGAAAGAGAGGAGAGCCGAGTAGAGGAGAGCGCAGGAGAGGAGGGGTTTGAGAGGTAAGCAGAGTGGCACAAACATCTGGAAACACAGCAGCAAAGACACATGGACAGTGGAAAGCTGGTAGACAAGATGGAACAGCAGAAACGGAGCAACACAACAGAAACCTGGAAAATGGCAAACGGAGACGAAAGACAGCACTTGATCTAGTCCACTCATTCACTCACGTCAATGTGTGCTGAGGGTTTTATGATCATACGGTTGTGCAGTGCAGCCACTGGAGAACCCAGAGTTGCTGCAGCCACTGCCCCATTGAGTGCTGGAAGGGATGGGAGGAAGGATGTCAAGGAAAGGGAAGAAAGGTGCGAGCAACGAGAGGAGAAGCGAGAGGACGAGAGGGTGAGGGTGTGAAAGAGCACCGACATGGCAGAAGAGATGGAAGATGGCAGCTGGAAAAGGGGCTGCGACAAAGAAAGCAATGCATGGTGCATTCGCCCTGCTACTGCACCTTCCCTCCTAGTTGCCTCTTGCATCAAACAAGGAAGCAGCTTGTTGTGCCAACCGATGGGCAGGCCTTCCAAGAACAATCCGCTGCACACCAGGATGGGGGGCTGGGAGGCACACCCACGATGCACGCACACACCCACACACACATTCCCCACCTCCCTTCCGCCGTCCCCACATTCACATGTCACGCCCCGTCCCTTCCCTGCCATTGCCCTCCGTCTCGCAGGTCGTGAGGCACACACACGCACGGGAAGAGACGCACGCACATAGACAGAAGCGGGGCAAGAAGGGAGGGTTAGAAGCAGCAGGAGGCGAGTGACGGAGGAGGCAAGGGCAAGAGCCACGACTGGTGCCTGCCTCTGCGCGGCGACGCCCTACGACTCACTTCACTGCCCCCCTGCAAGCACCCCCCCTGCCACGTACC